ATCCACCGGTTTTCAGAGCCACTATAAGTGAGGGGGTCATAGAGGTTGATACCCACGTGGTCAAATGGGCGAGCCATGCACGGGAGTGGCTGTAACATGCCAGTAAGGTGCCGCAGAGGTGTTGTGTTTTTGGCATGTAGTGCAAGACTGAACGTATTTCTGCAAGAGGCGATACATTCCTCTCCAGTAATATTGCCACGTTACTTTCCTCAAGTTTTGTTATCTCCGGCTCGCCGCAGTGGTCTAGTGGCTAAGGTACTCAGCTGCTGGCCCGCAGGTCGCGGGATCAAATTTTGGCTGCAGTGGCATTCCCGATGGAGGCGAAAATGTTGTAGGCTCGCGTACTCAGATTTGAGCGCACGTTGAAGAACCCCAGGTGGTCGGAATTTCCAGAGTCCTCCACTACGGCGTCTCTCATAATCATATGGTGGTTTTGGGACGTTAAACCCCACATATCAATCAGTTTCGTTATCGCCCCGTTACACTATGTTCCGCGCGAACTGCGCCGACGGTGTTCGAGAAAATTTGAGGCTGTAGTAGATCGTTTTGTTAAAATTATGCCCACTTTGAGAACATTAGAAATTCTGGAACCTACGTGGCTGCTAGTGATAAAGCTGGAATATGCCCTGGCATGTGCTTAAATGTCAACGCGCTTCACCGTTAGCCAGTGGATCGATGGCCGACATTCTGTTCCCCACTATCAGTGCCAGTGTCTTGCTGTAACCTGAGTTTCCTTTTACGTGGCCACAGACCTGGCCTAAATAAACAGTTTATTGTTCGACTTGCAGTCTGCTCCCTTCATCCACATCACGACCCCGTGACAATATCGCTGACGCAGCCTTCTGTAGGTTTTCAGGACACTGGCGTGAGCGCTTTGGGGATCTGCATGGAAATTCACGCAGATGTCAGAGCGCATATGATTAGGGACAGCAAGGAGCCACTTCCAACAACCTGGCATGTATTTGCCGCAGTACAGAATGTCTCGCACGGAGAAGTGGACTGCTTGACGGCAAAGCGCTCTTGTGGAAGGGACAGCTGACGGATTGATAAGGTAGTTGAGTAACAAGGCAAGGTATGGGTCTTTACGCTGCTCTGAAAGCATGTAAGTGGTGTTGAGTGATAACAAGTTGGTGAAAATTGGTGACAGAAAAGCCACATCTGGTGTTTTTGGTGAGCGAGACAGTGCATCGGCATCCGAAAGCTTGTGACCAGAACGATATACGGCACTAATATCGTATTCCTGCAATCGAAGTGCCCAACTGTCTAGGTGTCTCGACAAGTCTTTTAAAAAAGAAAGCGAACATAGAGCATGGTTGTTTGTGATCACGTCAAAGAGACGACCGTAACAGTATGGCCGAAACTTCGTCATTGTCCATATTATCGCCAAACACTCCTTCTCGGTCACGGTGATTGAATTCGGCCTTCTTGAGAGCACGACTTGTGTAAGCGACTACGTATTCAGCTTGGGTGCCTTTCCCTTGTGCCAAAACTGCACCAAGACTGATGTCACTTGCATCGATATAACTTTCTGTGGGAGCAGTGAGGTCGTATTGACGAAGGATAGGTGGTGAAGTCAACAGGCGGTGCAGTTGGTAAAATGCGTCGTCACATGCAGGTGACCATGCAGGTATACCTTTGCAGGTGGCAAACAGACTCGTCAGAGGTGCTATGATGGATGCAAAGTTACGCACGAAGCTACAAAAGTAGGAGCAGAAACCAACAAAACTTCTGAGGGCTTTCAGTGATGTGGGTTTTGGGAAATCAGTGAGAGCTCGAAGCTTATCAGGATCCGGAAGAACGCCGTCTTTTGAGATTACGTGTCTCAAGATGGTTAGTTTGTGTTCTGCGAAATGGCACTTTTTGGTGTCAAGTTGTACACCTGCATAAGTTAGACACGTGAAAATTTTGTGCAGACAAGCAAGGTGTGTCCGGAAATCAGCTGAAAAGACTGCGATGTCGTCCAAGTGACAAGCAATTCTTCCACTTGCGGCCTGGTAAAATGGTATTGATCATGTCCTCAAATGTCGCAGGCGCGTTGCAAAGTCCAAATTTTTCACTTCACTTCACTTTATTTTCTTAAAGACCCCCGAGGGGGTATTACATAAGGGGTGGGTTAACAAATAAAGATCTGTTATTTTTTTTCATTGACACGGGTTTTCATTGCGGAAGATGTGCAGACAGTTGGTCGAAAAATGTTGATGGATAGGAAATGGCCACGACGTCGTGGGGAAGATCATTCCAGTCGTTTGCAGTCCATACAAAAAAGGACATAGAAAAAGTGGTCGTTCTAATGCGTGGACGGGCAACTTGAAGTGGATGTCTAGTGCGGTGAGATATGCGGGCTGGCGGAACAAAGTAGGGATGACGGAATGGGCTGTGAAAAATTTTCTGAAACAGGCAGAGGCTGGAAATGCGACAGCGAACGTCAAGGTTTAAAAGAGCAGATTCTTTTTTGAGGGATGATACACTAATATTATACAAATACGAAGAATGAATGAACCTAGTAGCACGGTTTTGAACTGCCTCAAGTGAGTCGATGAGATATGCTTGGTGTGGGTTCCAGATTGCAGAGGCATATTCCAATTTAGAGCGAATAAGGGATTTGTAGGCCTGTAACTTGACGTCCTGCGGGGCGTGCCGAAGGTGACGTTTCAGAAAATCTAGGGATTTGTTTGCAGATGATATAATGTTGGTAACATGCAGGCACCAGTTAAGATCATTGCACAGGGTGACAAAGAGATACTTATATGATTGCACGTGTTCGAGGATGACGCTAGCGATTGAGTAAGGGAACAAAGAGGGGTTGCTACGGCGGTGGAAAGAGACTGCTTTACATTTGTTAGGGTTAAGATTCATAAGCCAGCTTTCACACCAGTCCTGCACGTGGTTAAGGTCATCTTGAATAGCGGTTTGATCTGTCGGGTTAGTGATTGAGTGATAGATTACACAGTCGTCAGCAAACAAACGGATACTGGAGGAGACATGAGAAGCTAAATCATTAATATAAATTAAGAAGAGAAGGGGACCAAGAACGGAGCCTTGGGGGACACCTGATGTTACTGGAAGGGGGTTAGAGGGCACGTCATCAATTGAAACAAACTGGGAGCGGTTAGTTAGAAATTCCTCAATCCAAGCTAAAACATCGGGATGTATATTTAAAGATCTAAGTTTCATTAGCAGTCGCTTATGAGGTACTTTGTCGAACGCTTTCGAGAAATCCAGGAATATTAGTCAGTCGACAGGTTAGTATCTAGACTTGTGTGCAGATCCTGGACAAAAAGGGCTAATTGGGTTTCGCAAGAGTAACCCTTACGGAACCCGTGCTGGGCAGGATGGAAGAAGTTATTGGCATCAAGAAAGTGAATGATTTGGGCGTAGATGACGTGTTCCATGATTTTACAGGGTACGCTTGTTAGAGAGATTGGGCGATAATTTAGGGGGCTGTCTTTGTTACCTGATTTGAAGACCGGAGTGACCTTCCCCACCTTCCAGTCGTCTGGTAAGATGCCTGTACGAAGTGACTGTGAGAATAATAATGACAAAATCACTGAAGAAATAAATTTCGTGTTTTTAAGAATTTTAGCATTGATTTCGTCCACACCTGCCGAGGAAGACAGTTTCAATTTTTCGATAACAGACAATACACCCGATGGAATAAATGTGATAGGCGACATAAAAGACTGGATACAATTCGGTAACGCAGGAAACGGTATGTGGGTTTCGTTGGTAAAAACAGATCAAAAGGCAGCATTGAAAAGTTCAACGACGTCAGTGGTACTCATATCATCACCAGCTTCATTTTTCAATGTAACCGTGTGGGATTACTGGGGGTTAATGATTTTCTAAAATTTCCTGGGATTATTGGTTAGAATCTTGGGTAAATCTGTGGGAAAAAACGAGTGTTTTGCGCTGCGTATGGCGAGGAAATACGCTTTTTCGGCCGCATAGTATTTATCCCAGTTCTGAGCTATAGGTTTTATTTTGGCAGCCCGAAATAATCGTTTCTTCTTATTACATAGTTTTTTCAGGGTTTTTGTAAACCATGGTTTCTGACAAGATGCGCGAAATGTGGTTTTCGGTATGTACTTTGTTGCCAGTTCCCATATTTTGTTTTTGAAAATCGTCCAGTTGTCCTTTACTGATCTGTTCCAAAAGTCTGCTTCGAAGTCCGGAAAAAAATTTTCAAGTTCGTTATTTATTGCCTCGTAGTTTCCTTTATCATACAGATTGATAGTTTTAGGATGAGGCTTGCGGGACAAGTGGTCGAAATTCAAGACTGAGTGTATTACCTTGTGATCGCTGATTTCACGAAAGTATGTAAGTGACGATAAACTTTCGGGGTGCGTTGTTAGAAACAAGTCTAGTATATTGGCTGAGTTGTTTGTCACACGGGTTGGCTCCGATACCAGCTGGGTGAGATTAAAGTTTAAGCAGATGTTTACAAATTCTTTTGCTTCAACACTGCTTCCTGCCAAAGTGACTTGGTCTTTCCAGTCAATATCGGGATAGTTAAAATCGCCAAAAAGTAGAACATGCGCGTTGGGTTGTTTAACAGTGAGGTAGTTCAGTATGTTGTTGAATTTCTCGGGAAAGTCAGGACTGCTTTGTGGGGGACGATAGCACACTCCAAGCAGCAGAGTTACTGGCGTAGAATGAATACGAAGCCATAATATTTCAATGTCAGATGTAATGTCGACAACTGAGCACGATAGCGACTTGCTAGTGGCGATTAAAACACCTCCTCCTCGAGCCCCTTTGCGGTCGTTCCGAAAAACGTCAAAATTCGGGAGATCAGCCAGGATTTCATTGTCCGTAACGTCGCTTGACAGCCACGTTTCAGTGAGGACGAGTATATTGCTGTCGGATGACAAAACAAGATTAGATAATTGCTCGCGCTCAGAAAGAAAACTACGGGCGTTAGTGTAGATTACGGAGGTGGAAATATTTGGTCGTGATCGATTGCATGGGCGGTTTGACGGTTGGCGTTGCTTTTGGGATTGCTACGCCATTTCTTTGATGGATTGTGACATTTCATCGAAGACGTACCGCTTGGAGCCAAGAAACAACGTTTTGTAGGGGCATGAAAAAGCGATGGATTTGCTCCTAGCGAAGGCAATGAGGTGTTTTCGTGCATTTTGGACGGAACGAGAGAAATCCTGACCTATCGCGTAAGTTGTGCCTTTCAGTTTTTTGCCATTAGAAAGGATCGTTTCTTTAGTTTTAAACGATGTGAATTTTACAATGACCGGGCGGTGCCGGCCAGGCTTGTGACGACCAAGCCGGTGTGCCCTTTCAACTTCTTTTGTGTCAATTTTAACGTTTAAGTGTTTGCTGCAGAGGCTCACAATTAGTTCTTCGGACTCAGAGAAAGTTTCAGAGTGGTTAGTATCTGGGAGACCATAGAATATTAGGTTGTTCCGTCGCGAGCGGTTTTCCGTATCATCAAACCTGGCCTCCAATCCAAGGTTTGAATGTGACGAGCTGTAGTGCCTGCACTGGTCTCTAGCGCCGTTATTTGTGTTTGAACGGTTGAGAGGCTTTGGTAGTGTTTTTCCAGCTGCGTTATTCTATTACTTAGGTCACTGATAGTTTTTTCTGTAGTATTCAATTGTATTTTTAGGTCTTGCATTTCGGAAAGAAGCTTAGCCTGCCCAGAAGATATACTTTTTAGTTCAGCGAGAATGTCAGCACTATCGTTAGGGGGCCCTGGATTGCCCTCAATGTCCCCAGACAGTAACAGCAATAAACAATGTATGCTATCAATGCATTCGAAGGCCATGCATACACAACACTGCGGGCTCGGCAGCTCTACCAGCCAGTAATTGCTTGTTTTTTTGGAGAATAGCGAGCTTTGTCTACTAACCTGCATGGCGAACAGGAGCGGGTTACAGGACTGTTTCGTGGCGCAGCCACCGAGCCCACAGAGCGGCGCGCCGGGATGCTGCCGCTTTATAGCTGTTGCTGATGTCGATGAAGATGAAATTTCTGGTGTCTGCAGGATCCATACTTCCTCGGGTGGGGGCGCCGTTTGACAGGCCAGAATGTTGGGGTTGGAGGCGCATTGGGTACTCGTATCCGCGCTGGTGTCGAGCCACAGGGGCTCGTGGGCTGCTGCTCCGTCAGTCGCGGCACCGAGTGAAGCCGAGGAGAGTAGATGGATGACGAGTGTAGCATAAACCTGCATGGCGAACAGGAGCGGGTTACAGGACTGATTCGTGGCGCAGCCACCGAGCCCACCATGGCATGACATTGAACTCGTATAAGCCATCAGGCGTTACAATGTCTGTTTTAGGGCGATCACATTCAGCCATTAGCACCTGCCAATACCCAGAGCGTCGATCCAGGGATGTAAAGCGTTCGGCGCCTTGCGAACAGTCAAGAGCATCGTCTATTCGTGTTAGCGGGTAGACGTCTTTTTTCGTAGTCCTGTTTAAGCGGTGATAGTCAGGGCAGAAATTGAATGGAGCAATATTTTTTCTTTACCAATACCACAAGCGATGACCAAGGGCTTTGAGAAGGCTGTATGTCTCCATGTTGAAGCATGTCATCTACTTGCTCCATAATAATGCGACGCTTGTCGGCGGAAATGCGGTAACGACGCTTTCGCAGGGACGAGTGTGAGCCGGTGTCAATAGCATGACTGATAGTCGTGGTGCGGTTTAACGAAAGTTGTTGAAAGTCGAAAGAAGAAAGAAACTTGTTGGCGGCGATGACAGGGGAAAAGGTCTGCATTGACGGCGTTATAGAAGGGTGACGAACTTGATGGCTCAGACGCAGGAGTGATTGTGGCAATGTAACAACATGGGGTTTCATTGGGAAGATCAAGATTATCGTTGTGGTTGACAGGTTGGACATACTCTAGTTTCACCACAGAGTAAGGCAATGGGGTTGTTTCAGTGGTTGGTAGCCAGCATGATGGTTGATCCAGACGCAATTGTGAGAACAATGCCCTTGTGTTCAGTAAACATGGGAGATGGCGTAAGCATAATAGGTGCGTCGGGTTGAGCAGCACACAAAAAGGTAATAGGGACTGAAGCTTCCGGAGGCAAGTTGGTGTTGTCATCAACAATAAGTTTGCAGGGCAGAGGAGAACGATCGGGCAATGGAAATTCACATGTTGGCACATGGGACACTTCTGTGCATGAACAATCGATGATAGTTTCATGTCGTGACAGGAAATTCCAACCCAGGATGAGGTCATGAGAGCAAGATGGCAGAAGCAAAAATTGGACGATGTCTTGCATTACGACGCACGCCCTACTCACAACCGAGAGATAAATGCATTACGCACTAGCAGTGGACAGCATCATGCCATAGAGAGATGGGGTCACTTTCTTGAGTTCCTGATAAAAATTAGTGTTCATCATAGAAACAGTGGCCCTAGTGTCAACAAGCGCTAGTGCGACGATTCCCTCAACTTCAACATTAATAACGTTTTGCATCGAAAATGGACTCCTTGAGAATTGTGCAGGAGTTGCAGTTTTTAGCTCTGGAACTGCACTGATAAGTTTTCCTCTTCTTGAGGTGGTCGACGACGCATAGGCGATGGTGATCGACGATGGGGGGGGATGGGAAACAAGCACTTGATGAGCGGCAATCTGAGTTGGAGTGCTTCTGTTCAGAGGCAGATGTGGCGGCATGTTGCGGGGCATAGGTAGGAGTTCCAAAGGAGGTGTATGCAGGCGTAGGATGGCAGCAGCAGATGTGTGCAATATGGCCAGCGATGCCACATACGAAATAGATACAGCGGAGAGGTCGAGCACATCTTCAATTAACTGGGAAACGTTTCATCAGGCTGCTGTGCTCGGTGGGGTAGAAGCTGGTCAGCATAGAGCTTGCGGACCTCTTGTTGGCCAAACGCTTTGGTCACAAGAGTCGAACGTGGACGAGTTGGCAATGGCGGTTTCGCGGTTAGCGAACCAAAGCTTTGTGACATCAGCCAAGTAAAAGATAACGTAGCCGAGCTTAGCATCGTCGGCCCACTTTTTGCTGGTGCTTACGTGTTCATACAGGGAGAGCCAGTCTTTGACGTTTTACTCACCACTGACGTTAAAAATGGGCAGGTTCCATTGACGGGTAGCGCTTTGGCAGGGAGGTGGGACAGCCAGTGGTGCTGGCTATGCTTGGGTGGGCTGGTTGGTGACTGCGTCAGTCATGTTGTGCAGTGGTCTTTCGGCCAACTTCCGAGAGTGGAGCTCCAGTTCTGCTTGGGAATCTCAGCAACTTCCACCAAATGCGATGAGTTTTATTGAACCAGAGAAGTTGCAATGAGGTTGCTATTAAAAACGGCCGGGTGGCAAGGCTGGCAAAGACGGCACATGTTATCACACAATCACAGTGCGGGGCTTTTTGTCCTCTTCCGAAGGCGCATACGCGTTGGTGCATATGCTCCACTATGACTTGAATGTCCTGAAAGCTGGCTAGAAGCATATAACTGCGTGGCCATTTTCAATGCCTGGAGCAGTGAAGACAAGCTGCGGCACGTCTACGTTGCCCACCAAGATGTAGCCAGGACATGGTTTGTAAACAAAGCAGGAGTCCTGACAATGTTGGACGTTTTTCATAATAAGTTCCTGGCAAGATTTACCAGCGTCTTTCGAAAGGAGAGGACCGAATCTATGCTCGAGATTTGGGCACACGTTAAAGAACCACAGGAGGTCGAAATTTCTGGAGCCCTCCACTACGGTGTCTCTCATAATTATATGGTGATTTTGGGACGTTAAACCCCACATATCATTGAATCTATGCTTGAAACCCGTGTACAACTGCCAAACAAAGACGTGACCCTGTTCACGAAGGAAATAATACGGCTGTTTCATCACGCTAATGCAAGACCAGAAAATTCGTTTCCTCATGTGAGGAGTGAAATGGGAGCTCTTTTCGGAAGTGATGTGCAATTCACTAAACAGCGCCGAGGAATTCCTGTCGGAAGCGATGATCAATGAATCGGTGTTGATATGATAAACCCAACCTAAAAAGTGGTTGCTAAGTATTTGGATCATTAGCCTGTGTGGCTAGTTACTTGTCCAATCTATTGCATGAGTATTTTTTTACTTGTCAGGAGCAGAGGTGCACATTATACGAATATGAATCATTATACAAGTTCAATGACTGAGTTTCTTCTAAGGTATAATATATATAATGGCACATGACAATAAATACAAAATTGCTGCAAAATTTTAAGTACACAAGCAATAAAGAAGAACTAATGACATAAATTAAAAAAGTATGGGCAGAATTTTTGTATAAGGCTGCGTTGAACGATCAAAAACAAGTGAACTTGCATCAGAACAAAGAAAAAAAAAACAAAGAAATATATACCAGGTGAGACACAAAAGAAAAAAATGTGGACATGAGATTCACTGTAATCAAGCAGATGAATGATTGACAAAATGTATTTTGCAAGTCAAATTAAATTTGCGTGCAAGTTTAACTTCATTCAATTGGAATTGTATTCCAGCTAGCACCAGTGAAATAGTTTAACCAATTGCCATATACATTCTTACAATTTGGAAGGTTAAAGTTGCCATTGCCTGCATGCCTTGTGTTACGGGTAGGTGCAGAAAATGTACTCACAGGTAGTGGAAAGCTGGTGTTAATGATTGAATTTATCAATACTGCAGTTTTATAATTTCGCTGAGACATAAAAGGCAGTATCTGAGTAGAGGAAAACAGATTCGAGATTGTGCTAGAACCAGTTGTAATGACTCAAGGGGCGCATTTTTGTAACTGTACGGTTGGTTTGATGTACGTTGAATAATAGAAGCCCCATATCTCTCTACAGTAACCGAGTTGACAGTGGAATATAGAGAAGTATAATGATGATAGCATGTTATATGGAAAAGGCTTTATTAAGCGTGAAGCATGTGAAAGTGAGTTTTTTAGATATGTGATTATTCTCATCCCTCCAATTCATGTTTTTGTCTATTTGAATCCCCAAGTATCTAAACGTGGAAACTGGCTCAATGGGGGAGCTGTTAATTTTCAAGTGCAGATGGTTATAATCTAGATCTTTTTTCTTGGTATAAAATATAATGTATTTAGTTTTGGCTATATTTAATGCAAGCTTGTTGCGGGCGAATCATGTGGAAATATGTGCTAACTCTGCCGTGACTTGTTCTTTTAGCGTACGGAGAAAGTTACCTCAAAATAGTGATGTGGTGTCATCAGCGTACATTATGGTTTTGCTGTAAAGAACAGACGGTAGGTCATTTATATATAACGAAAACAACGTAGTGTCTAGCACGGTTCCTCGGGGTATTCTGCATGTTAGTTTTCTAAAGTCGGTGATTGAGAAGGCATTAGAAATGTGCAACCAATTGTACAATCGTTGCCCGACTCCAGACAGCACAGTTTATTTATTTATTTATTTGGAATAACCTCAAGGTACATACAGTATATTATAGAGGGGCGATACAAGTACGAAAAGATGAAAAAAAAAAAAAAGCGAGAGAGATACGTGAACAATCAAATCAGGCGAGTACAGTAACATGTCTAATAAGGAGAAAAAGTAAAGATTAAGACTGATTTAAACACTGGCTATACAAAATGTACGACTCGAATTAGTAATGCAGAAATAAATATATTAATTACAAAAAGTACAAGGGCAAGAGCTCTGAGAACCAAGCAAAAGAAAAAAACAAGCGAGAACAGATGGCAGAATTTTACAATTCTAGATGATTTTCCCAAGAGCATGTTTGAAAAGATTTGGATCGCGTATTTTTACTAGAGACGATGGCAGATTATTCCAGTCGACTGAGGTTTTCCGAAGAAAGGAGTGTGCGCATGTGACAGTCTTAGAAAACGAGACCTTGACTTTAGTATGACAACGATTCCTGCGAGCAGATGCGAATGGTGGGGGGTGAACAAAGAGTGGTCAGAGAGTGGCGTTGTGATAATATATTTTATGAAAAAAGGAAATGCGAGCTTGCTTCTGGTGAATGGCAAGTAGTAGAATGTTTAGAATAGCTTTCATTTCCGTTACACTTTCTGTACGTTGATGGATGGTTCATTGGTATAAAACAGAGCAATCTTGCACTGCTTCAATTGCGTCAATTAATTGACATTGATGCGGATCTCAAACTGTTGATGCATACTCTAGACCCGCTGCGGTGGTCTAGTGGCTAAGGTGCTCGGCTGCTGACCCGCAGGTTGCGGGATCGCATCTCGGCTGTGGCGGCTGCA